ATCATACGGCCAAGTGGAGATTTTAAAGAATCAAATTTCCTTGATTGAAGTTAGTGGAGCTAATAATGTTTTGTCATTTAGTTAATGACAAAGTGAAATTAATCATTTGTTTTTATTTACACTTTTGGCACGCCACTTTCAAAATAAATGGTGTGAGATTAGGCCATGGTTGATATGTATGATTCGGACATAATTTTTCTAGTGTGAGAAAATAATATTTTGGTTCCATTAATATCATTTTGTGTATAGAAAATATCTTTAATATTTTCTAAATATTATTGGAAATATTTTCTATAGAAATATACAAGATTATTATTATCTCAATTTTAATCTTTATATTTTATACTACTATAATCTTTACTAGCATAAAGATTGTGGTAGACTCCGGCGTTGTTCGTGTGTCAAAGTTGGAGACCGGACGCTTGAACGGTTACGTTTGCACTTTCAACGCTCTTCCTACGACTTCTTCGTTTTACCGCTTACGGAGAAAGGTACAAATTTCTTACTACTATAAGTTTTAGTACGTGATTCTGGGCAAGATAATCATGTTAGGATGTTAAAATTTTTGTATTCCGCTGTCTATCCTTGCATGGTTACCTTTCAAGAATTTCTTACAGGTTTTTTAAATATAAGTTACAAGTATTAAAATGACTTGACGTTGGTAATGTATTCTTCAGATGTCATCAGAAAAGTGATTGGAAGGACGGGTATCCAACGACATGTTGTCTAGGGCACTCCTCAGAAATTGATGGAGTTGAGTTTAGAAGATGAAGAGTAATGCTTAATTTTTAACACAAAATCAATCCCTTAAATGACTGTTAACTAATGTCACATATGCTTAATTGGCTGCAATAGGAGCAAGAGGATTCGTTGCACCCTGTGGGGGGGGACTACATTGACAAGTTTAACATCTATGTTGGAGGGAGTATAACAGACCCTGCTCTCTTTATGCAGTTTGGTCATCCAAAATGCTTCAGAGGTAAATATAAATTTAAAAATTTCAATTTAATATGTAGAAAGTTTAGAATGAGGGAAGAGATAAGGTCTATTTATCACTTTTTTTAAAATGCCTTACTTTAAATAGATGACGTGTACGTGTCCACATCTTATCATGTAACGAAACTCATGAGTGACCCGGAGGGTGTGCATAATGCCCCTGAAATTTTAGGGCCTCATAATTTTTAATTCATCATTAATTTTGAAGCATAAGTTTTCTAAAATAATAAATTAGGGCCAAAAATATAAATATCAGATCGGGCCAATTTCATTTTTCCATTTTTTCAGGCTGGCCTTGACGAAACTACTCCTAGGCAATGACTCAAGTGAGGCCATCGAATTTCTGGGGAAGTTCAAAACTTGGGATGAAGGAAGCAAGTCTTCCAGTACTTTTACCCTAACTCGGAGCACGAAAATGGAAAATGATGCAAAGGAATTTAAAAATGTCTACTATCAAGGAAATGCTTGAGGCGGTTGAGGTTTGAGTTTAGTGTGTTATTTTATAATACTTTGACTTCCCTCTACAAATTGTATTAATTAATTTTGTTTTATAAAATGGTTATCACTAAGTTATGGCAGATATAGTTGATATCGAAAACTACAAAGACTGGTGTTCTTTGGGTTGCACAAACAGTAACTGTAACACAAAGGTTGACCCTGAAGGGGGGAGCATTTTAGGCGTTTCCAGTGTGAGAAGACTATTCCATTTGGAGAATACAAGTGAGTTTGGTAGAAAATGAAAGAATATTCTAGGCATACCAGCATCAAAAATTGAAAGATATTATAATGAAGGTATTTGTTGAAACTCATTTTGCAGAAGAAATATGTCTTACACTTTCCTTAAATTATAAAAAATATTGTATAATTTGAAATCAGAGAACCGGGGGCATAACTGAATTTCCAAAAAAGTTGAAAAGAAACTGCTTTCAATGAGGGGACTGTTTAAAACTATTTTGAGGAATGCAAGAGATTATGTTAGCTACAATAGACCTCGGACCTTCAGAGTTTTGACGATGGTCATTAACCCTAAGACACTAGCCCTCTATGGAGACCCAAGTAAGAGTGAAGAAGAAGGGGATGGATGGATTGGATATGTTTTCTCTTATGAGAAAAAAGAAAATGTACTTATACTACCACTTATACTTAAAAAAATATTGAAATAGAATAATCTCATTGCTAAATGCTTTGACTTTACAACTGTACAGATTTGCTCTAATGGCAGTGGAAGCAAAAATGCAATGATCTGAACCATACCCTACGGGATGAAAGTTCAACAAGCAAGTCTGAGAAGAAACCTAGGACTACAATGGCATAATAGAATAACTTGGTCATGTTTTCAAGAATATTATGTTTATGTTTCTATGTTTTCAAGAATTGTGTCTTGAATAAGCTGTCAAACCATATGTTTGAAGTCCGTGTTGTGCACATGTTCAACAAGTAGTTTGTAGCCTTGCATCTTTTTATTCCTTTGTTGTTTGCTTTCAGCACATAGCATGTCCAAACCTATGTATGAAACCTGTGTGTGTGTTGGGTTTCATGAGTTATGGGTCTATTTATTTGCTTTCATGGATATGTTTCGTGTCTTTGTTTTAGTGAAATGGTGCTTGGTTATTAATACATTTCTGACTTGAAACTTTCTTTTTCTTAAAATCAAGAAAAAAATAGAGTATTTGAGTGATTTAATTTGGAAGAGGTCATATATGCTAAAAACATTATCTCACTAACTTAATTTTAATATTTATGCATCTGAATTTAAAGTGAATGGAGATGGAAAATCAGCGAGATAGTTACATTGAATAAAAATAGTTTTAAAACCCTAAGCTATATTGCACACTCTATATGATGTTTCTTCTTAAATGAATAGTGTTAGTAATCAGTTTCTTCTTGCAAATAAATTGTTGAATTAATAGAATAATTTAAGAGCTAAGTAAAAGTTAAGTGTTTGTATGCATAGTGTATAAAAATTAATTATTGATAAATACAAAAACAATCTGATAATATGAAAATGGATAAATCATTAAGCCAAAATCTTATATATTCGAAAACAAATATTAGGGAGCAAAAATATTATTTTTAAACAAAATGCTAAACAGGATAGAACTGAAGATTTATAGAAAAGAGGGAAATGTTGTGAAGTGTTTTGCATGTGAATTACTTTTTAAAAAATGTAAGCTGAATAATTTTGAGATTAAGCCATAACAAAACTATACACACACATGCACACACACACACATATAGACACAATTGTTTTTTTTACAAAACCCTCATTTTTTATAAACACATCATGTAGCAAACTCCCACACAGAAACACATAGTATGATTTATATAGATATTTCAAAAAATATAAAATTTATGTTTTTTAAAAATTATTTTGTTTCTGTTTTTCAAAAAAAGTAAGTGGTGGTTTTGGATTTCCACTTTTTTCCCCACAACCCCCCACTCCATAAATATAACTTCTTCGAACCAATTTGAAGACATTCTTTCCCATAAGTTTTGTATAGAGAGTTAACATATATTGAGCAATACAACATCAATCAAAAAGTTCACATATTCCTATGTTTCACTGAACGGGATTTCATGTTATTTTGAGGTAATATTATACTTTGATTTCCTATTTTTTTCAAATGATTGGTTTCCTAAAGTGCAAGGTCTGACATGAAGAAACTTACAAAGAGTGGAAAATATAAACTCAAGAGAAATTTGGATGAAGATGTCAACAAAGGTTAAAAATCCGTAACTATATGTTTTTCCCTTATAAATAATGCTATGCACTTATATTCTAAACCACAATCGAAGTTCCAGGAATAAATTGTTTTAAACACATTTTCTTTAAAATAATTCTCCCATTTCTATGTGCTACGATTTATAAACATACCTTTCATAAGAAACCAAAGCACGCATGCCCATAAGTCTACATACAATTAAGAACTTTATATATCAATGAAATAGTAACATAAAATTTAAATGTCAAGTAAATGACTGCTATAGTACATTCCTACATACCTTTCATTTTTCTGGAAGTCAAAGTTAATTATATTACCTGCAGTAAAAAATATTTTAGGTTATATAAGGTAATCAATCACTTCAACATCCTTAAATTTTTCTATAGTGTCTCTAAGTTGTTCTACTTCAATTTTTGAGAAATCACAAGTAGAGCAAGGAGAATTAGACTTATTTAAGTTAATTTCATCAATTGCCTTAAATTTATTTTTAAGTTCTTCATTTTCATTTTCAAAAATCTATTTTTCTCTTCAAAAGATGTTAGCTTAATTTGAGTTGATTTAGCAATTGTAGAGGTTTTCTTAAATTTGTCTAATAACTCATAAAATGCATCTTGTAATTATTCAAAAAAAGGTAGGTTTGAAATGCTTGCCTCGTGTTGTTCTTCAAGAGCAACGAGGCATAAATTTGAAGAATCGTCTTCGAAAGATTGATCATACTTCCACGAGAAACAAGCATATTAATCTTTGTTGCTTCTTTTCTTGAGCTTCAGGCACTCATACTTTAGACGACCGAGTTTTCCGCACTTATGACATTTTGGAATGTTTTCCTTCTTGCTCTTGTCAAGCACATGTTTCATGAACTTGTTAAACCAACTAAAAATTAAAAATTAGAAATTTCGGCAACACACCATGTCGGTGAAACCAACTAAACTCATTAGGTCATTCAAAACAGCCGAGACAAACGGCTAATGATCAACAAAATATACTCCGTAATTCAAAATGTCTAGAAGTGGGAACAATATCTAGTACTGATAGATATTTAGTTTGGACAATATCTAGTGACAGTTGATATTACTTGAATAATGACCGATAGACAATAATGAGTTGTATTGTGTTGAAAAATAAAAACAAATGGTACTATATCAAAAAATTACTATATTTTAATATTATTTAGATAAATTCTATTTTTCATATAGAAGCCAAAACCTAGTATTAAAATGTTCTTTTCTTCTTTTCTTTCCCCAAATTATGAAATTGTTCCTCCATCTCTTCTTAGACATCCTCCACTTCCGACCTCTTGGATCTCTTTCACGGATACTTTGCTCGAAGCGCTCTCGCGGATACAGAATTACAGAGTTCTTTCTCCCCCCTCAGTTACCCGCCAAAAGGGTATAATTTTTAACTCCCCCAATCTCTTCTCCCTTCTTTTTTCGCTCCAATGGCTTAACGGATCTCTCTGCTGCCAAGGTGTTGCTTCCGCTATTGCAGATTTGCCATTTATGCGGCAGGTTGTCCCGGAACGGCGGCGATTCGCTGGACGGACAGGCTAGCTGTGTTGTTGTTTCTTCTTTTTCCGGGATGGAATCCACGGCCGGGTTGAAATTCGAGGGTGTGGGCGAGAAGAGGCCGCCGGACTCCGAGGCGATCGAGGAGCGGCCAGAAGGGAAGAGGGCGAGGGCGACCGTGGGCGGGAATGTGAAGAAGGTCGCGGAATTGGTGCTTGTGCTCGCCGCAATGGGGAAGATGAGGGGCGGGTGGAGCCCCAGTGATGCGGAGAAGGAGATGATGGTGGAAGCAAGGGATAAGTTGGCAGATGTGTGCCAAACGTTTGCTCCCAAGGATGTGTTTCCGAGGGACGCGTTTGGAGGTGTGATCGAGGACCTTGGCCTTGATAAGCTGAAGGAACAGAGGTTAGGGATTCGCCCTCCTAAGATGTCTATTGCTGAGACGATGTTGATTTCCAAAAGACAGGTCTTCTTTCCCCCTCTTGGATTGGAGTATACATACTATTGCTTATATTTCATTTTTTCCTTCCGTCTTCTAAGCAGGATGTTCATACTTCTCGTCATTCGACTCTCATCTTCCCCATATAGCTTACTAAAAATTGTTGCTCGTGCTTTCCTGATAATCCATCACTTACTTTCTCGTCTTTCGAACTTACAGATGGAAAAACCTGCAGAACCCATACAATCTGCTCTTTATTCATCCCAACGCTTGCAATCACATTCGGGTGCAACGGTTGAGAATCGTGGTCCTCCATCAAATGCTAATCGAATCTTTCCATCTGATAAACCAGGGCATGCACCGAATTCGTACGGAAATTTTCAGTCAGCTGCAACTCTGGGTCATGGACCTGCTGCAAATTCTGCATCTTTACCTCATCAATTGCCTACAAGTGAGATCAAACATAGTATTCACAACGGGTTAGCCGCTAGTAATATGGGTAAAGACACATCTCCAGTGCTATTGCCGCGTGCTGAAAGGCCACATCTCAGATCTGACGGGAGGTTAAATGCTGCTTCTCATATTCAAGGTAACATTTGTTTGTAAGTTTTGAAGTGCTTCACATTTATTAACAGTTTGAATTTTTACACTAATACAAGCAAGTTTTCTATTTTTGGTTACTTAATGAAGGAGTTACTTAAAACATGTATGGGGATGGAATATTCAGCGCGATAAGTAAATCCATTTCATGAATATTACTCTGTAGTTTTTTCGTCCAATGGTTAATTGGTTATTGTTTCATCTATAGAATATGCATGATAGTGTTTTTGTCTCATTACACACATCACGCAAGGCTCGTCCGTTTTTGGACATGGAGGGTCAAATATGTTTGACCTTTCTGTGCATATTTGGTTTCTGATTGTACTTTTTGGTTGGTTTAGTTTTCAATTAACATCACATTTGCATGCAGATAACCCAACCTTGAGGCCGCCTAACTGGCCGATGGCACCTTCATCACATTCAGCGGCTAAATTGGGACCTGACATTGGGATTCCAGCACATTCATCGGTAAAAGTTGAGGGTGGTGCGGGTCACAAGTCAGTGATGGCCCACCAACCAACAACGTCCAGACCTTATATCAATCAGGCTTCCTTTGGAAACTTGCCAAATGCACACCAGCATATTCATGGAATGAGTTTTGTTCCTGCACATCCTCCGAGTAGCCCCCATGCTGAAGTTGGTAAGATTGTTCAGAGGTTCCTACAACACCAACTTCGTGATAGACCTGCTTGGACTCCACCATCTAGAGATTATATGAGCAAGGCACTGCCTTGTCAGATGTGCAAGTCTACAGTGACTGGTGTGGATAACATTCTTATTTGTGATGCTTGTGAAAAAGGGTATCACTTGAAATGCATTAATATGACTAATCCGAAAGGTATTCCCAGGGGGGAATGGCATTGTGGGAAGTGCTTATCACTAACATATGGTAAACCACTGCCCCCAAAGTATGGCCGTGTCATGAGGAATAGCAATGCTCCAAAGACCTCTTCAAATGCACTAATGGCTCAGCCATATTTAGACAAAAAAGTTTCTCGTGCAAGTGAGAAGTTCACTCAGCAGAAGGTGGCAGTCAATGAGAATGCTGCTTTACAAAATCCTCCTTCTCTAGATATAGCAAATAGAGATGACACTGTGTCAAGTAATAAAAATATTGATAGTAGAGCTTCTTCGGAATCCTTTCCAAACATTATGGTGAAATCATTTAGTGATAACGGTGCTTCCCCTGTTTGCGCATCAGCTGATAAACCTTTCCAAGGGGATTCAGTTGATTTGAAACAGGAGCCTCATGCAACAACTAAGACAACACTGATTTCATCTGACCATTCACACCCATCTTCGAACCTCCCAAATGTAGATCATGTTCCACCAAATAGTGAAGAGCTTTCATTGAAAGGGTCTACTGGCAATCACCTTGATGTTGTTGATTTGAAGGAGTCTTTTGATAGGGCTTCTTTCAGGACCAGTTCCATTGGTGTTGCTCAAGGAGGCGAAAGCATGAAAGACAATAATTCTTTATCAGATTGCTTAAATAATGTTGATTGGGTTGGCATCAAACATACAGTTGAGGATGAGAAAGAGTATTATGAAGCATGCCGCATTAATGGCTGTACATACAGTCTCAGAGACTATGCTCTTATTCGTTTTGAAAATGATCGACTGATTCCTTCAAAGATTCAGGTGAGTGATCAATTCGATATTTCAAGTAGCATAAAGCCAATTAGTTTTGGACAAGCAATAATCAACGTTCATTTAGAAAATCTCTTCATTTACTGGATTCGTTTTGTAGGAAAATAATTGGAAGAACAAAACAAATGCAGATCTGTTTATAAAATACTCTGTTTATATACTCCAGATCTGATTTTTTTATTGTGAACTACATTCAGAAATTTTATGTTCCTGGATTATTTATAGACATCAACCAACACAACTTTTGGTACTAATCAACACATCTATTACTAACTAATACAACTTCTAGAAAATAACTACCTTTAACCTCCAGAAATAACTACCCCTGTCCCTTTTATTTTTAAAATTTAAATCTAAACTAATAACTTATGACCAGGAATTAAACAATACGATTAAATCTAACAATCACCCCCCTAATCGTTGTTTGTTCACACCAATCTTCACAATAATGTTGGTTCATCATCATCTTCAATCAAATTTGCAATGTCTTCCTTTTGATCCCATTTTGGACATTCGTTCAAAAAATGTCCTAACTCATTGCACTTGAAACACTTAATGTGACTCTTATCCCGCTGAAGCCGCCCGCCATCCTGACCTTTCCCGGACCCCCGACCTCTACCTCGGCCACGTCCAAAGTCTTCTCGGTTTGAGCTCCAGCAACCACAATGCTCACATTTTTGCTCCTGAACCTTCTCTTTTCCATCACCTTTAGTGAATAATAGTTTACCATGTGTATCTCCTTCCTCAGTTGGCTTTCTGAGCAACTTGTAGTACGATCTCTTCTGGCAAAGCTTGAAACAGATTTGCTATTGCCATATTGTTCTTCTTTGGATCGATTTCTGTTCCTGGTTCGATCACCTCCCAAAGCCCATTAACATTAAAAATTTCTTTGATCTTCACGGCCCAAATAGTGTAGTTTGTAGCAGTTAGAATTGGAACCTGAAAAGATAGTGAACTATTTTCCCTTGTAGTCACAATCTGTCTGTTGTCTTCCATTGCACGACTTTAATTCCTTTGACAATTTTCACAAAATTCTTAACTTCGATTCCTTCCTGGGTTGTAAGCCACCTGCAATCAACCACCAACCAGAAAACAAGCCCCTGCTTTTCTGTCTTCCAACCAGTTGAATTGCTTCAAATCCAATTTCCCACGTAGTTCGTCGGTCAAAGGTGGAAGAGTTCCAGAGGTCAGTTATGAACTGGCAAAACAACACTCGGTCACCAACAAAGCCTAACAGAATAGCTGAAGCCACTAAACGAAAGCAACCCCGCTGATTCGTTTTTCCCGCAGTGTTTGGTTGGAATGCTTCTGCCAAAGGAAAAACTAGCCACTTGCTATTCTTGTCCTAGGCGAGGAAGAGAATCTTGTCGAAGATTTTTGATCTGTTGCCAGATCTCCCTTTTCTTGCCGCTGATCGCACACGCTCCGATACCAATTGTAGGAAAATAATTGGAAGAACTTTTGTTTACGTCTAGACAAATATTTTATGAGACAAATATATGAGGTCTAGACTAAAAAATAACACTTGATGTAAGTCCTTAAGATACAAGGACCTAATAAATATCTGTAGTTGGTTGTGTTGAAAACCATGATTAGTTGTGTAGATAATGATTGATTATGTTGAAGATCTTTATACTACCTTTAACCTCCAGAAATAATTACCCCTGTCCCCTTTTATTTTTAAAATTTAAATCTAAACTAATAACTTATGACCAGGAATTAAACAATACGATTAAATCTAACACGTTTTGTACATCCCATCGAACTTCATGTGCACTATTCAGATTGGATGCCTGAATCATCATTGATACCAAACTATGATATCTATTTGCAATTTTGTTTTATTTGAGTCCCATCAATCCCCTTGGACATAGCCAAAACAAGATTTTAGAATTTCTAGTCATTTATCTTCTTGAAACACTTGTGTGGAGGCATCTTATTTTTTTTGCTGCTGCAAAAATATGTGTGTGTGTGTGTGTGTTTTCCTTTTCCTATGTAGCGTCTCAAGGACTTGCTAAGAAATTCTTGCTTTAAACTAATGTGATACTCGAAATATATTGATTGACAAGACAATGCTTAATCTGCAGACTATGTGGGAAGATACCAAAAGTGGAACCAAATGGGTTACTGTTACTAGATGTTACTCTCCTAGAGATTTGCCAGCATCTGTGGGGAGGCCCTGTAGTCTGGAAAGCAGCGAGGTATGACTCCCAAGGTTCAAATCCTTTTCTTGAGCAACACAAATGTTATCTTGTGGTCTTGCCTGCCAGAATTTGTTTGGAATTAATATGAATGCAATTAATGAATGGGGTCTAAACAGCTTTTCACAAAAGACTAAAAATGACCTTTTATATCTCATGCACTTTTGTGGGAGTCATGTGTATATTTGATATTTTTTTGGTTGTGCTCATAGTGTGAATTTCGTTACCAAAGTTTAATAAAAAGCTATCATGTCCGCCTCTGACTAATGATGCTTCAAGACCTTATTCTTTTAACCATTCTTCTTTTTCTCTTTCAATCATGAGATAGGATTTTACTTTTGAATTAATAGATGCTATTAACTTCCTTGTATAATTTGAACAACAATTAAATAATTTAATAGATGAATCAATAAAGACCAACATCTTCATCACCTTTATATCAATTATATTTGGCTTGGTGACATAAAATTATAACAACAACCAAACCACTCAAGTCTCACATAGAGTCTGTTTTCAATTTTCAGGCATGGAATTTATAGAGATAGTTAATTGTTTAAAATTAGATAACCCTAATTTCATGCCAAAGATTATAGTGATCGAGCTTTACACAGAATGCCATTCCTAGCACAACATTTTTACAAACAAGTAGTGGTAGAAATTTCATTAGACTGCAATGAGTTGCAATAGTTTCTCTTAGTCATGTATTCATGTCCTATTGCATCATTACATCATTAATATTGTAAGTCAACATGGATGTGATGATTCTTCAATATGGGGGAGGTCACAAGTTCAAAACTCTTAGTATTTTAATAGGTTGAGGAAGTATGTATGAACGGATACTACAATTGTAATAGAGTTAGTGCTAAAAAAACTATTATTTTAAGAAACATGGATGTGATGTATTTTATGCATCACATGCAAATATACTTCTCCCTCCATCTCCTAGTACACCGTGTATTCCTTAAATGGTAGTCTCATAAAATAAAATCAAACTTATAATTGTTCATTCGAACAATTATCCAGAATAAATTTTTGTTTTTCATTTTTTTGTTTGAAATTTTCCTTAAATTTTTTAAATGACTTTGTACATTTATCATTCCTTTTTCTTTTTTGTTAAAGATTAGTCTTACTTTAGAAAAAATAAAACAAAATAGATATAAAATATAATGAAAATGAGAAACACAACTAAAACTATAAATAATAATCAAATAAAAAGGTAATCAATAAAACCGAATCTCTAATAAGTAAGAAATAAAAATAGAATTGAATGGAGTGGTGGGTGCTAACATTTACGTACTATATGGAGTAAAAAATGAAAATCAAAATAAGAAATAAAAATAATTCTTATTACGTATTCCCATTGGTAAAAAATGAAAATAAAAATAAGAAATAAAAAATTTATTTTCTTAGTAAAGCCTTAAAGAAAATTTATCTTTCTTGTTCTGAAATATGGAGTAACTAAAAAAAATTACGCTAATTAAGAAAAAAACTTATTTTATTTCTTACTTTTTAGTTTTGTTTTCATTTTCTATAGTTTTAATAATAAAATAATCTTTAATATCTTTTTTTATTTGTATTTTCATTTTTTACCAACACAAGGAAGTAATACATTAATACCATATATAGTTCCTAAAACGTTAGAACCTACCACTATGTGTACTTTTATTTTTATTTCTTATCAAATTGAGGTTAGTTTTTATTGATTATTTTTTTATTTCATTATTTTTTATGATTTTAGTTGTTTTTCTCATTTTTTAATATTTTATATCATTTTTTTATTTTTTCTGAAGTAAGAAACGGCTGTAGAAAATCATTTTAAAAAGTTAAGGGATTATTTAAAGAAATATATATAAAAAATAATCCCACCTTTCTTTTTGCGGCGCAAAACATGCTATTTCCCTTAAGGCCTTAACCAACCGTTAGCAGTTAAATGGCGACCCAAAACTCGCACATTTCAGTAGAAATGAGATTATTATGCATCACAATGAAAAGTGAAATTATTTTTGAAATTCTTTTTTGTGTGACCTTTTCTATTAAAATTTTTACATTTCTCTTTCCATCTTATTAACTACTTCCTATCTACTTCTTCCCTTTTATACATCAACTACCAATTTAAATATAGTACGGAGTAATATTTATCTCTTCTTTTTCCATTTTACCCACTATTCTTATCAAGCAAGTCGAGAGATATTATGACATTCATACATTGGGACATTGGGCATTTAAAAAAAAAGAGTTAATAGTTGTCGGATTTGGGTAGCCAACATCAATGTTTGTACTGCATTTGAGAGTTTATTTGATTTCATCGGGAAATCATTTTTAGCGAAAAACCATTTTTTAACAAAAGAACATCTTTATTACACAATCAGTAGAAACAACATACCTTATTACAAATCAACAAAGCACCAGCAAAACCAACTACTGCTATCTACCATAATTATAAGCAAAAATAGAGAAAAACCAAATTTCTCTAGTCTAGAAATTTTTTTTGACTTTGGTGCATTGATATAATACACTCTTGTTCAAGTTGCCCCAAAAAAGTTCTATTTCTCTCATGTGCAAGTGTGCAACCTTTAAATTTTGGTGATTAGAACTAGTGGGAATATGAGCTTCTCCCTTGACTAGGGTGGTGGGACGTCCACTCCCCAAGATTCACGGGAAAGCTCACCTAGGTTCCAAGATTCATCAGGTTGAAAAAGTATGACCAGATACTACATACTAATAGAGTCAATAACATTAAAAATCTAGTGGAAATAATCAAATATAGCTATATTTTCAAATTTATTGCTAGGTTAACTTAATTTGATATATTGAACTTGTCGACATGCTTTTTATTATTTTTAAACATTTGATATGATGAGAATACACATCTTTTCATCAAATTTGAGTCTTTTAATGGGACAAAAATGTGTTGGGAGAATAACTTTTTTATGAGGCGAATGGAGTATGTTTTCCTATGGAAGTTCAAAATAAGGCGAAAAGAGTATGTCTCAATTTATCACTAGAATGAATTTGCTGAAGATTAACATGGAGTACACCAGTTTGTTATGATGACCTAAGCAAAGAAAAAGTTAGTGGAAATTGCACTTTGGTACCTAAATCATATAACAAGATAGAAGCTTGGAAACTTTATTTTGAAAGGGTCAATGTGTCGTGTTTAATAAATACTCCGCATAAGTTTTAGTTTTAATATACACACACCCATAAAGTTTTTAGGTCTTTGGAATTTGGTTGGTGTTCAACGTAGAACTACATGCACAAATTATCACATGAACAAGGTATTAACAAAATTAATTTGTGCTCAAGGTTCATTAGGCTAATGAAAATAGTTTGGGAGTACATCTTGTTAGATGTTCAATAATGGAGGCCTTAAGGCTGTTATATGATCTATCTCGAGAGACAAAGTTATCCTTTGTATTGGCTTGCATACATATCATTTATCATATCCTGGAAGTTTTAAAAATAAAGCATTTTAAATTCTCAATTGCATTAATGAATAATTATGTAATGGGAGTGTACATGCATTTTCTCCCTCCTTAAGCAAATTTTTATTGTAAGTAAAATCATATGATGTAGCGACACGCAGTGTTAGAAATTGCATTACAAAAGCCCGCCTCGAAGTGCTCCTCGGACGGCCTTGCCCAACATTAGTTTTTGAGGCATAAGATGGTAGCCTCATGGCATTCACCACATGGCGTACACCATATGGGGCGACGTAGGTGTGCACCTATCTTTACAAAGAACAATTGCTTTACACGGGTGTTTCCAACTTTTTCCTTTTTTATTCGATAATCTCATTCATCAACTTCTTGTGGTGTGCCAATGGTTAGGGCAGTGACTACAGAGTTCTGTTTCTATTTTATACAAACCTTTTTCCTGTTAGCGTATTTCTTTAGTACATTTAATAAAATATTTGATTTGGTTTATCTTTTTTATTACAAAGATAGTTGTGTCTTGTAAATTTTGATATTTTTAAATAAAAATTTGTAGTTGATCTATGTTACTCATGCTATGTTTTGTCTTTTAAGTTCATTTTATTTTAAAAATTTCTAGATCTATAATTATTTAAATATTAGAATCAGTTTTGTTTTTTACTCACAAAGGCAGTTTTGTTTTTCATATACTATATCATTTCATTGTGTGAAGGTACTCCAATATTTTTAATCATTTTTCCATAATGCAATATTTGGCCGCTTGAACTTTTGAACTCTTTGTTGTGACATTGTTGTTGTCTTGTTGGGTTCAAGTATTAACTTTGTTGCAGTTTAATGATTGTTTTGTTATACGGAGGATATGCTATAAACTCCCTCTGTCCCATTAAATGGTGGTTCCACAGTCCACTTCACTATTCATTGGGTCAATTTATATCTGTCTATCCTTGTATATTTCCGTTGATCATTTGATAAAATAAAGTAGTCAAGCCATTTTTATGCAGTATTTAAAAATATATTTTTATTTCTTCATCAATTTTCAAATAAATTGAAAATAATTTCAATATCGTAAACCGTAAATGGAGCCCTTTTTGGGATGGAGGGAGTATTTGTTGAAACTTTAAATGTATTATAACTTATAGACGGAGGCTTATGCCTCTTTGCACCAAAAGGTTTCAGCCTCATGCAATGCTCGACAACCTTGTCAATTACGCAATACACAAATTTGAACATTGGGTACAAAGTCCTTTCCAAAAATTTATAAGAGCATTTTTAAAATTTTCTTATTGTTTTTTGTGTGCGTTGCATTTCCTTGTATTTTATTTTTGTACACCCTCTTTCCTAATAGAACGTTCATACGAGTCTAGTAGTCTTAGTCATGCTTATTTAGAAGGTCATATTGCGTCCTTAAGGTTTACTCCCTCTGGAGTATTCGTTTAGTTCGATTTTTTCTAGTCAAACTGGACAAACTTTAAGCATCAATTACATTAAATTTTCATTACATATTAATACAGTGCAATATAATTTTTTATTTATTCGATGATCAAAGTTTATCCAATTTGACTCAAAAAAACAAACTGGACGGATACTCTCGGACAGAAGTAGTATGCAAAAAGGAGAAAAAAATCAACCTAGTAGTTCTCTCCTAAAAGGAATTGCAAAGTGCACTGTGACTCTGCGAGATACAAAAAAGGAAACAATGGGGTTTCTCATTATACAGTGAGTAATATAGTTTCCATGCATCATCAAATAATTTTTATTAAAATTTATTCTATTAATGTAGATGAGTAGATCTATGATTGAATTTTTTTTTTTATTGTCTCAGTCATCTTGGCTGTACAGGCCCAGATGGCCATTCCATCCATATTTTAGCCATTCTTGATCGAGATGGAACACGATGAAATTCCTTATGTTTTCAAATAACAGAATGTTTTGGCCAAGGAACAGAATGAAATGTATAACTTTGATTTCTGCTGGAACAGAATGTAATCAGTAACTTTGATTTCGCCGGATGAGGTTATGGTCTCAGTTTCGGAGACCATCTTGTTATGTGGTTATTATTGGTGCCGCAAGGATACTTCCTGATTTATTTTTCATTCACAAACGTTTTGAAAAATATTTCTATTGATGACCTACCATGGATTTTTGCTTGCTTTATGCTGTTGTTGATTTGTTCTCACCAGTAGTTAATACTTAATAGCTGCTATCTATTGTGGAATGTCTTGAAGAACAAATTGACATTTTATTCACAACAGCTCTTATTAATCAAATAAAGTGGTTGCTTTGTTTTAGGTCTATTTGTCTAATTTTGAGAGTTCTGTAATGGCTGGGCTGATTCAAGGCCCTTGTGAAGTTCTTCCTTCAAGCCGGTTCGTTGAAGAAAGAGAAAGGAGAACTCTTGCTGGAACAGAGCAAAATGCTTCAGGACCGCTTTACCTTTGCAAGTATGGCCATACTGTTTCTTTCATGTGCATTTTTGTTTCTGAATTCAATTTATCACTTGCACTGTGATGTGGATGGGGTGCACAGCAGTGGCATGCAGCTTAGTTTAGTCCCCTTTCCCCCCTAATACGTGCTTTATGCGAATTTTGGTATGTTTGAATCCCAGCAAAATGAGCAAATGAATTTGAAAGTAAAAAAAAGTGTCGATGAAGTTTATTTCTGTACTGATTTCACCTCAAAAAATGCAAAAGAGTATGATTGTTTGTTGGAATCTTTTGGACATTTGTTTAGATTTCTTATTCTTTATATAGTAAACATGAATATGAAACGCGTGTATCGATAAATATCTAAACGGACCCTTAAAGTTTCTATTTGACTATCACTTGCTTAATCTTAACTAAGGACATAAAATTGGGGCGGTGTTTTAAAAAGTTACACATTCTCCACTACTAGCTACTGTTGCTTGGATAGCAGTATGTACACTGATATCGTTGCTCTCTTATAGTAATCTAGTAGCATCTTAACTAAAACACAGTTGAACTTTTACCCCTCATTTTTGATTGGGTTATTATTAAACTGTAACCAAGATGTTAATGAAACGCTGATCCCAGGAAGAATTCCCCAAGTGGCTGAAATGCTCGTGTTTTTTACCTTATGTTTTGCCAAATGTTAACTGCAGGTGGATTTTTGATGAAGCAAAGGGCCTATTCCGTGACGTTTCCTGTTAATCGTGCTCAAGTCATGTGTTCTTTCCTTCCCTCTGTCCCAGGTATATATACCACACATGTTACTGCTATACCTCCCCCCTTTTCACTGTCCGTAAACGCAAATTTTTACTTCCAGTCAACCGGGCAGCCCTTCTGAACTGTGGTTTTCAGAGATGGAGTTGCGCGTACGATATGATTCTCGGAAGGAAGTGCGCGAATTCACTTTCATTTATGGCTTGTTAGTTTAGTGAAATGTAGAAAGGAGGTAGATTTGGTCTCTCTTTAGATTAGATGCCGCCATCCCAGTATCGCTTATATTATGCTAAGGTAAATTTATTCTTTTGCTAAACAGATTTTTTTTTTTAAAAAAAATTTCTGTGAGCATTGTTTCTTCTACAGCATAATAGTGTATATAGTCAATTTAAACGTCTGTTGCTGCTGCCTATTGGGCAATAAATTCCCGAGGCGAGGTTTTAAAAAAAAAGAGCAATACAAGTTGAGATTTCGGATTTCCTATCAGAATTATACTCTCCATCCATTCAATTTATTCGTTCATTTTTTCTAAAATAATTCAATTTTATGAAATGATGGCAATATTTACAAAAACAATGTTGAATTAGCCTATGCTTCATTGATGATAGCAGTATAAATACGAATATACGATGAATGGGAGATGTTTTAGATATCAAGTACTGAATTGGTGATTTAAAAAAAGAAAAATGCTAGGGGTACACCTTGTCCCCCACCCCCTCCTCCACCACATAAATAGGCAAAAACTTCAAAAAAAAAATTAAATAAAAATGAGTGGTGGAGAAGGGGGTAGGGAACAAAAAAAATACTCCGTAGTGAATTGGCCCTTATTATGCAACCTCTGAGCCCTTATTATCTTAACAATAGCACTTCCACAATGTTCAGTGTATTTGTCCAGTTTGATTTTTTTGAGTCAAACTGAACAAACTTTGAGCTTCGATTAAATAAAAACTGTAATGAACTTTAACATAAAAATGACTTTATTGGATTTATCGTATTGAGAACTTTCAAAATTGTACAGTTTGACTCGAAAAAGTCAAACTGAACATATACACTGGGACAGAGGTAGTGCATAATTAAAATTTGAATATGCCACCCTTCTTCTATATTGCTTCGCTCATTTATAACTGTTGCTTAGTACGGAGTAATGTCAAAGTTTTATTTCATGGCATCTATATACTCCATACAAAAGCAAAAAGAAATCTAAATAAAATTTCTCATAAAAAAAATCCCGCCTGAAGTATCATGTTGTAACTACCGTTGATGAACTTTTTGGTGAATAATCAACAACTGTAGGTTCATTTACCAAACACTATTGAGGATGTTCTTCCAGTTGAGCTATTTTTATAACGCCTGTTTCGGTTTACGATGTTTGACTGAAATTATTTTCAAACCATTTTATATGACAAATGGTATAGAATTAAAAAATAAAAATTACATATTAAAAGACTACATCAAAAGATCTACAAAACTAATAGTGACAATAATATTTTATTTTATCAAATTGCTAACGAAAATAGAGAAAGAAAGTGAATGAAGTTTGACCCTGTAAATAGTAAACAGACATTATAATTTGGGACGGAGGGAGTAAAACTCAAAGCTCAAATTTCCCATCATCATTACCTAATGACATAATTGGCTGGCTGGGCACAAAGAGTGAATCACTAAATTGAAGAATAAGTATGGTTTCATATCAAAGTAGTAGAAAAAAAGAAGTTTTTCTCGAAGAATATCATGCACAAGCCGAGTAAAATCGCTTCCCGTTGATTTCAAAACCGCAAACAAACATGTATAGTTATTAGAGAGTGAGACCTTTTAGTGAATGCAGGCTCTAACTTTGCCTCAAAATAGACGTGCATCAGTTTTGATGCCTTTTCAACATTCTTATCCCGACATTATATTCTCTAGCACATGCTTTGAATATCACTTCCCTTCTCTAGCACACGAAGAATAATATACGCGTACATGATATTCCTCATTTTTTACTTGAGACAAACCCTTAGACGGATGATCTACAATGTGTCACTTACCTTTCAACACCTTGAAAGCTCGTTCGATATCTTTCTCATCATCTTATGAGCTTTTTGTAGGTTTGGCATTTAAGACCGATTGATTCCGAGAGGAAGTTGACAATTGTAAGAAAAATTTGGATATATTCCATCGGCAAGATAATATTCACGCTTGTAAAGCGTTTCTCTAAGATCAAAAAATGAATCGAGTGCAGTCTCATTAATCTAACCGTCAATGAGAGACAAGGTTTGAAATACATGCTTGAAGCTCAAGTTTGAAGCCCCAAGACTTCAAACCCATGCTCAGTGAAACTGTAAAATAAATTAAAGGAAAGTTAAAGTTGAACAGAGAGAAAATCTGAAGCCTAGAGCTCCAAACTATTTTCGGTAGTGTTATGGTCAATATCTACGCCCTTTGCCTGCCGTTTGATGTGCATCTCGTATTTTTTCCTAAAAAAATTATACTCTGAACTTTTATGCGTATCTTCTAATGTGGCTATGTACAAGACCTTTGACCTCATACCTTGTGTCCTTAATATGATTACTTCAAAGTTTATCATGTCTGTGCTTCAAACACTTTAATGGGGTTTTATTGTTAAGGGTTAAAGAGTATACCACATCGGAACAGTGTGAAGAAAATAATTGGTATATAAGCTCTTGAGTTGATTAAGTAATCGATTAGATTCCATCTTTAAATGTGGTTCAACTCAAGTGTCTTATAGCCCAATCCAGTTATCTTTACCCAATCCTAAATTCTATCATGGTATTGGAGCAAGTTTTGGCCCACCTCGTTTTTCAAGGTGTCCGTTTAGATGTTCATTCTTAGCGGCCCGTTAGAACTTAGAAGTTCATTCTTAGCCCGTATGTCCTTTAGCCCAGTTGTCCGTATGGAGTATGTACCCAACGGTCTGTGGCCTGTTTAACACGATTGCTCATCTGAAAGTCCATACCTAACGGTTTGTGGTCCTTTAGGTGTTGGCCCTAAAAAAAGGGAATGAGAGTCCATTTGCAAGTGGTCAACCGGTTAGATTCAAAATGGTCTGGTCGTCCACTCTAGGAGGAGTCTTAAAGAGTATCCCACATCGAAACAATGTGAGGAAAATAATGGGTATATAAGCTCTTGAGCTCAACTAAGTAATCGATTGGATTCAGTCTTTTAATGTGGTTCAGCCCAAGTGTCTTATAAGTTATAACCCAATCCAGTTATCTCTATGTGGTAGACAAACTTAAGATTCTACGTAGGATCAATGTACGAAGTAAAAATTACTTGTAAATCGTAAGATCGTGGCATGTAGAGCTGTTCATCATTAGGTCTGGACCGAAAAAAATACTAAACTTAAGGATGGCAATTCCAACCGGATCCGACGGATACCCACCCCACTTTTTTTCTTTTCTTCCTCTCCCACTCCTGCACACCGCCGCCGTCATCCTCTCCCCGCCGTCGTCGCACCACGTCAAAGTCGCCGTAAAGTCAACCTGGTGATTCCTGCAAGACCAACACCATTCTCTTCGTCTTGGGATGAGGATCAAGAATATCCAAAACATTTTTTCCAATTTGGCCTGAAACTCCACGAATTTGAATTTTTCAACTTGAAGAAACCCTAAATCCGAAATTGGGAGTTTTTGCAAATCGCTATCAAATCTTGCAATTGAGGGGTCCTTGGAGGTCGCCGAGATGCCAGGAACACTTTGGATGGGATGGGATCAATTTTGCTAGAGGTGGCCGAAAAACGCTCCAACCCACCGGAAAACGCCGCCTCCTGGAGGCCGAAATTCGACAGGTGCAAGGAAAGGATGACGGCGGCGGCGACAGGTGAGGAGAAAAAGGGGGCGGCGGTAGAGTCGTGGTGCGACGACGGCGGGGAGAGGATGACGGAGGAGGTGTGCAGGAGTGGAAGGGGAAGAAAAGAAAAAAAAATGGGGTCAAATTGAAAATTTTAAAATATATAAAATTCTAATTTGGTCCAAATGTTTGGAAGTTAACCTGGAAACAGATAAATGGACTTTTAGTGAAAGTATTATGTAAGTTCAGGTATTTTTATGAAAAGATATGAAGTTTAGGTACCACTTTGAAATTTCAGGTACCATTAGTGAAATTTACCATGAGATAATTTAAATTTCATGAGGGAGTACCCACTCAGAGTCCCAAAAGAATAATGCTTGGTTCACAAACAAAATGGTCACAAATTTCACAAACTTACTAATTGTGAACTCCAATAAATAAAATTAAATAATCTAAAATAATTTTAAAATAAAAATTTAAAATATAAATAATAAGTTTGTGAAGTTTGTGAGTATTCTGTTGGTGTATGTAGCCTTGCTTCTAGCAAAAACGGATAAAAACTGTAACAAAAAATACTCCGTAACCTAACTTTACGACTTCAGTGTTTCACGCTCGGTGTTTAGTCTCCTACGTCGCTAAGCGATAACGCCAGTCGCCGCTGGTCGGCCTGGTGCTGAAGCAGAAGGTTCATCGCAGAAAACCAATCGAACTATTGCTCAATCTCGTCTTCATCTGGCGCGTCCCGTTCACAAAGAAATTTCAATCGTGCTTTTTCTTCCGATCCAGAGGTAAGATTGATTGTGTTTTTGGGTGTTTTGTTCATTTTTGTGTGATTTGAGTTTATTTTTGTCGGTATTTCGAACCGGAGGGTACTGTGTTCATATACGTGGATTGATGTTGATTCTACTTGCACTTTTTATTATATGGAATTTGTAATTGAAGATTGGTTTTTGTCAGACAATAATCAGGAATTTATTTTTTCCAGATCTTATGAGCGATTTAGATCACAATTCTGTGGCGATCCTTAGCCTCGTACGATTTGACGATTTGAATTGCGAGTTTGACTGCCTTGGCTTATAGTGTGAAATTAGCTAGGGTTTGACAAAGGGGTTTCTTTCTCAGGGCTTCAGTTGTGGACTTATAACTAAGATTTTCTATTTGTGCATTCTGAATCTTCAAGTTTATAAAAACTACTGTTTCCGTGCTCCGAAAAGGATGTGTTTTTTCTATCTGAGTTAATTTGTTCTATTTTGGTCTTTTTTGTTTTATGTTGATTTTGAAAGATTACTTGCCAAATGACCCATATAACTGATATTATCATTTTCCGCGTTCGTGTATTTTGAAGCATTTGGTGCCTGCATGGTTTCCAACATGGTTACTCTGACGGATATTCTACCCCCGCCAAAGTCTCATAGCAGTTTGAACTATGACCACACAAATGATCCGTGGTTTAAGAACAGGTATAGCGCCACTGAGGCAGAAATAACTACAGTTATCAAGGCAAACCCGGTTCCCCCTTATTTAAAAAGAGCTGGATTTAGGCCATCTAAGCTCGAGGATTTTGGGGATGGAGGTGCATTCCCCGAAATTCATTATGCACAGTATCCTCTTGATATGGGGAGAAAGAAGGATCGTAATCCTGCAAGCAAGACATTACCTGTTACCGTTGATGAGCATGGTGATGTG